GGGGTAAGACTAGGTTCCTATAATCCCTCCCCAGACCCCACCTTGTGTGGGAGCTTCTATGCACTGGGTCTGTCCTTTTATTTGTATCTAGTTGTTCGATCGAATGAGAAATTCTCCAAAGTGCCTTTTGAGTTTGTAATATCTCAAGTATCAGAACCTTGATAATGATTGGAAACTATATCTGTTTATATTCTATACCTAAGAACCAGCTTGGTAACGGAAAAAGAAAGCTTTAACTTGCTAGCCCAAAACTAATGCACACAAATACTAAGGCATATAGAAGGTTACTGACATAGTATTGTTTTTCTGTGGATCCAGACAGAGGTTGTCCATAAGGCCATTTACAACCTCTTTTCAGATACATGCATAGACATTCGATAACAACCATTGGTGTACTTTAATGTTATATGTACAACTGATTAATCATGTTAATGTTCTTTTGTCGGGAATATTTGCGGCACATAAGGTGTTCTAATAGGATCTGCAAGGTATTGTGGTGATGTGTGATATTTTTTAGATTGATACAACATGTACGTTTGACAGTTATGTAAAGAACATGGCATGAAGGTGGTTTCTGTCACAAGTTTGGTGCTTGCTCTTGGTATTATGTAATGTCATAATCTATAGCCTTATATGTTTGTCTCTGGTGTTATAAAATATTAGATTAGCCCAAACTATAATGCTACGCCCTTTTTCCTCCTTGATCATGGAGAGACATAGCTTTTTTTTTTAAAAGGGGGACTCCCCGGCCTCTGCATCAGGAGTGATGCATACAGCCATCTTATTAATGAAGCAACAAAAAGTGCGTACAAAGTTCCATAGTCTCTAACTGAAAACAATAAAAAGCAGCCCACACAGAGCGCAGAAGGCTAGAAACACTAACTAGCCAATAAAGGAGCCACAACCGGCTGGCTATATAGATAGGGAAACTAATTGCCTATCCTATTACATGACCGCCATCCAAACCGGTTGAAGATATCCCGAGCAACCATCTCTCACTGGGTAGACCCAATAACCAAATGCTCCCTGGCCTCCATCGGAGTGAGTAATGACCATGAACGGATCAGCGCCGTAGCTCGGAAGATAACCTGCAAAAAATGAATTCGTGATGATCTGTTAAAAACCAAATCATTTCTGCACAGCCAGATGGTCCATATTAAAGCGCAGACTCCAACCCGAATATGTCTTGCTATTGTAGAGTCAAACCCATATAGCCAATTCCCAAATAAAGCATTAACAATATTCGGTGGAGTTATATTAAAAGCAATGTGGACCGTCTGCCAAAGAACCTTGGCCAGCGGGCAATCAAAAAAGAGATGTTTAATTGTCTCATCTCGATCACAGAAACTACACCTAGTAGGTCCTGTCCAATTACGCTTTATTAAGTTGTCCTTTGTTAGAATAACTTGTTTATGAACAAACCACATAAACACTTTTATTTTCAAAGGTACTTTGACATCCCAGACACTCTTGAAAGTTGGAATGGAGCTTGTATTAATAACATCAGTATACATTGACCTGACTGTAAATACCCCAGACGTAGTCAACTTCCAGCGTAATTTATCCGGTTGGTTAGAAAGTTGAACCTCCATTAGTCTCCTAACTAACTGGAGCCAAACCTCCCAACGATTGCCCGCTAATGACCGTCTAAACTGAATATTAAGGGGGATAGATTGAAATACCGTTGCCACGAGCACCTCAGGTCGTTGAGCAATACGATATAAAGACGGATACTGAATGGTCAGGGGTGAGTCGCCCAGCCAAGCGTCCTCCCAGAAACGTGTAGTGGCCCCATTGTCAATGACAACTTTTGTCCTATTGAACATTAATTGCTTGACTTTCATGAGCCCTTTCCAGAAAGGCGAATCCATCGGCCTAACTGTTACTTGGGACAAAGTCCTAGTCTGGAGATACTTGCTGCGAATGATTTGCGCCCACATAGCTTCCGAACCGCTAGCGAGCTTCCACAACCACTTACTAAGAAGGCATCTGTTCTTAACCTCAAGATTCTCAATGCCAAGCCCGCCTTGGTCTTTGGGTCGACAGATGATATCCCACTTAGCAAGCCGGTATTTTCTTTTAAGCTCATCACCCTGCCAAAAGAAGCGTGATCGATAGAAGTCCAGTCTTTTCCTCACTCCCACTGGAACCTCAAAGAACGATAAGAGGAACATAGGCATACTCGTGAGTACCGAGTTTATCAAAACTAACCGGCCTCCATATGACATGAGCTTACCCTTCCAGCAGCTCAGTTTCTTTTCAAATCGATCCTCGATACACTTCCACTCTCTGTTTGTTAGCCTACGATGATGAATCGGAATGCCAAGGTAGGAAAAGGGCAGACTTCCCAACTCGCACCCAAACAGTTGCCTATAAGAGTCCTGTTCGTCTTGAGCCCTACCAAAGCAGAACAATTCGCTCTTATGAAAATTAATCTTTAACCCCGATAATTGTTCAAAGAGGCATAACAACAACTTCATATTTCTCGCCTTGGCCAAATCATGCTCCATGAAGATGATTGTATCATCAGCGTATTGAAGAATGGATACACCTCCATCCACCAGATGAGGTACTAAACCACCCACTTGACCATGATCTTTAGCCCTTCCGATCAATATTGCTAACATATCCACCACGATGTTAAACAAAACAGGGGACATTGGGTCGCCTTGCCTGAGGCCCTTATGAGTCTGGAAGTAATGACCGATATCGTCATTGACTTTAATACCCACACTCCCTTTTTGTGTAAAAGATTCAACCTGATGGCGCCAAGCCTCATCAAAACCTTTCATACGCAATGCCTGTTGAAGGAACGGCCACTTGACCTTATCATACGCCTTCTCAAAATCCACCTTAAAAATTACCCCATCTAATTTTTTAGAGTGAATTTCATGGAGCGTTTCATGAAGGACAACTACTCCTTCGAGGATGTTTCTGTCCGGCATGAAAGCAGTTTGGGATTGCTGTACCACAGAAAGCGCAATCTGTGAGAGCCTGTTTGTCCCGACCTTGGTGAAGATTTTGAAACTAACATTGAGAAGGCAAATTGGCCTGAATTGCTCAATTCGCACAGCCTCCGTTTTCTTAGGAAGCAATGTGATAGTTCCAAAATTCAACTGAAATAATTGAAGCTGTCCAGAGAAAAGATCATGAAACATAGGTAACAGATCCCCCTTAATAATCTGCCAACACCTTTTATAAAACTCCGCCGGAAACCCATCCGGACCGGGAGCCTTGTTGTTTTCCATTTGTGCAATCGCATCAAACACTTCCTTCTCCGTAAATGGGGCTAGCAAGATATCATTTTCGACAGCCGACAGTTGAGGTAAAACAAAAGAGACATAGCTACTTGGGATGCAAAATATTTATGAGTTGCCGCTTTACCATGTTCCTAAGACAGGCAAAACACAAGGATCTCATGCCATAACAAATTGGCAGAATTGGCCCCTAGACACCATTAAAACTTGGCTTTTGCCACAGGACACTGAAAAAACATGGATTTGCCTAAATCCATTACAGTTTGATGGTTCTTTCCCACAAGACAGCCAGCCTTTATAATATTCAGATTCCATCAAACTGACGATGATTTGTGCAAATTATCCCCATGCCCATCAGGATTCATACTAAATCGGCCAAGTGCCAAACGAACTCGCAGCCTTACTCTTCACTCACAGGGATAGCACGAATTGGGACGATTTGAACGTTGATGCTGGTACAGAGATTAAGCTGGGATCTAACTACAAGTTGTGTATGACTTAACGGGATAAAGAGAGTCACAGCTATGAAGAGGTTACTTCTCACCAGAATTTGCTTTGTGCAATTGACATGTACTGGGAGACAAGAAAGCTCCCACTGCAAGTGTGTGTACTTTATTTACTAGACTGTAGGCACCAGTGCTTATACATATACAAGGAAACAAGCTTGACTTGTAAAGTTGTACTCAGCGCTAAACATCATATATGCATAATTTTCAAGTAGTTAAAAATAAAGAGGAAAGGGAAATATACTTCACATCCTTTTTCATATCAATGATCTTACTAGAGCTGGGTTCAGGCATTTGAATTTAAGGCTAAAAAGACACACACGTGGTTCTGAAGAAGAAAATTGGGGTAGAAATGTCACTGACGGGAAAACAATGGTCACCAAGGAATTTCTTGGCCATCCCAAGCGAAGAACTTCCCATTGTCGGTCTTCTTGGCATTGTCGATGATGGACAGGAGCTTCTGTACGGAGAACTCCCTCGTGAAGAGCTTACCCTTGGCCACATTTCTCTGGAATGGCCGTGAGAGATCGGTGTCGACTGTTACTGAAATTGTCAGGCTTGATGTCCCTGAAAAGATGTACTAAAGAGTTAGCTGCAAGTTGCAGTTACTATACAGTTAAATGGTGTTAATCTATTACCTATGAATATAGTTATGCTTGTGAATGGATTCAATTGCTAGTATTGTCTCTGCAACATAAAATGAAGACTCGTCCTCTGTAAGTGTATCCTTGCGCATGAGCAGAGTCATCATGTCACCACCAGGAAGGTACTCCATAACGAGGTAAAGAAACTCGTCATCTTGGAATGAGCAGTAGAGCATAACTATATAAGCACTATCAACTTCTGCAAGGAGGTTCCTTTCAGCTCTCACATGCTCAACCTAGAAAGAACACATTAGAAAATAGAACATTTTGCTACACACCCTGATTTAATACTCAAGCAAACGTAAGTACCTGGCCTCTTCGTAACATTTCAGACTTCTTGAGCTTTTTCATTGCATATACATTGGATGTAGCTTTTTCTCTACAAAGTCTCACCTGAGAATATCAGTAGAAAGCAGAGGTAAGCAGTACTAGCAAAGTACAGTGAATAAAGATTTCCTCGAGAAATGAAAAAGAGCCTTTATCACCTCCCCAAAAGCACCTCTCCCAATAATGGTCAGCAATTCAAAATCATCAACACCCATTTTGTGCCTCCTTAGGCGCATGTATTCTGTCTTCTTTTTTTTCTAAATCCTTCAGGATATGGTTTTGCTCCTCTTCAGATACATCAGCATCAGCAAGCTTCTTCTCCAGCATCCAACGCCTACAACATAACGCCTACAACAAAACTATATATTAAGATGCAGTGATGGATGGCACCAAACAAGAAATCAAGAACACACACTCAATGACATGCAAACCAAGCTTAGACACAAAACCAACATAAAGCGGTTTCGCCAGCAGGTCACAAGAGAATAAATGCATACAAGCACAAACTATGGCAATAAGGCCTCTGTGAACAGCCGCCATACGCTTTACGCTGGAGAATTTTTCTTGCATGCCATCTTCCTTTACCAACTTCGAGCCTAGTTCCCAAAATTGACAGCATCATAACGCATTGCTTTCATCAACTACAATAGCTTGTACAGGCATTGTGTGAAAGAACAATTAAGGCATATATACAGCAACATTTATATTGAATGCTTCATGGTTCAATTAATACATGCAATTATTATAGAACACGTGTGTAAACTTTGTTGTAGAACATACCAACGACAATTAGGTCAATCAGCGTATCAGATTTTGGTCCAAAACAGAAGATGATAAACCATTTACCAACTTCCACCCTATTTTGGTCTAAGTGGCACACCTACCTTACCTACTTCAACCCTATTTTTACTCCACAGCACTACAGCTATGCACACCAACTTCTGCATTGCTATGCAGTGCAGCTTTATCTTGGCTTATCCCAAAATTATAATCATTTTCCCTCCAAAATCCTAGCAATATTATGCTGACATAAAAAAACACATATATATCAAGTTTGGTGACACTAAAACTAATTAAATGCAGGAATTCACCTCCCCGTCCAAAATTAGGCGGCAGCTGTCACATGCCATTCAACACATCCAAAATTAGACATCTGCATCCTAAAGCACCAGGTACATGATAGTACAGCAATGGGAGGACCACACGCAATAGTCAGCAGTAGCTACTACTCTGCGAGTTGTAAGGTCGGCATGTCATGCCCATTTGTGGATCAGAGGGGTTGAACTAGGAATTAGGGTTCTAAGATGGATCACAGGAGGAAAACAGTAAACGTGGAGGAATATCCATCTCTATATGATATATATATATATGTTGTACGTGTTTGTTCAGAGAGATCTCACATTCAGGAATGGTTCATTACAGCCCTGTGCATGGCATCTTATAGCCAGCTATGAAAACGGAATAAAGCTACAGCGCGACAATAGGGAAGTACACAGAGCGAGCCGTTAGATCCTTCTTGGCATCATCCATCGTAGCCGTCCATTGGCTGAACTTCATCTTGTTAACTGAAAAGACAGACTACAGGTGCTGTAGACCTGACACGGCAGCACAATTCCACCATGACGCAGCCAGCTTGGAAGAGACCAGGGCACAGATCACGACAAACAAATCGAGGGCACAGATCACGACAAACGGATCAAGTGTGCAACTACTCAACCAAACAGGGCGCCAATTCGTGGCTACTAATTAATACCTCCGCACCAGAACACCCACAGTTCAAGCCCAACTCACACAAACTGCCAATTCAACACCAGAATCCTAGCCCTCTTGAGCAAGCGATCCACCAGACCATGTGATCCACGGGCACAGGCATACAGCAATATTTATTCTGAATGCTTCCTGGTCCAATTAAGTCTAGTAAATGGACACTGATTTTCCGGCACTTATCACTTATGGTAACCTCATTATTATAGAGCACTTATGTAAACTCTGTTGTAGAGCACACAGGCAACAATTAGGTCAATCGGCACATTAAAGTGCTTCACCATTACCGCTCCCACCCTATTTTGCTCCAAGTGACGCGCCAATTTACTTCATAGAACTACAGCCATGCATGTCAACTTCTGCAATGCCATGCAGTGCGGCGTTATCTTTAGTTACCCAAATTTCCAATCATTTTCCCACCAGAATCCTAGCAATGTTATGCTACAGTCAAGGGAGCACATAAACTAAATGCACAGCCATAGAATTGCAAGAGCACACCTATCGTCCAAAATTAGGCGGCGGCGGTGACATGCCATGCAGCACATCCAAAATTAGACATCTGCATCATAAGCACCAGGCGCATACACTAGTACGGTAACACCGGCACGGCATTCAATAGTCAACAGCAACGGCTAGTCTGCGAGTTGCGAAGTCAGTAGCACAACACCACCACGACACAGCCAGCTTAGAGGAGCCTTGGACACAGATCACGACAAATAAATGGAGCGCGCAACAAATCGACTAAACAGGGCGCCAGTTCGTGGCTACTGATCTGATACTTGTGCAGCAGCAGACCCACGGATCCCAACCCAACTCACACACATCCGCCATTGTGAAGTCAGCATAATTCCACCATGATGCAGCCAGCTTAGAAGAGACCAGGACAGTGATCGTCAGTTCACACCAACAAAGGGAGGGCGCCAATTGGCCGCTACTGATCTGATACCTCCTCACCGGGACACCCAGCCCCAGGGATCAAGCCCAACTCACACACATTGCCAATTCCACACCAGAATGCTAGCCCGCTTGAGCAGGCGATCCACCAGACCAGACCACGTGATCCGCGGGGACAGGGAAGGCAGCGAGCGAGCGAGCGAGCGACTGACCTCTCCTTGCGCTCCTGGAGCGACCTCATCTGCGCCTTGTAGTGGTTCTCGATGCACTGCTTGGCGGCCTCAACCTTCTGCTTGGTGGCGCTGGACAGCACCGGCTCGTCCTCGTCGTCCCCGGCCATCCCGGCGCCGAGGGGCGACGCGCCCGGCCTGGCCTTGTCCTTCTGCAGCTTCTGGAGCCAGCTCCGGGCGGAGTCCATCGGCGGCGCGGGGGGAGCAAAGCGGCGAGCCGGATCGGGGGATCAGGGTGGCGCGACTAGGCCCGCCATTGTGGGCGCCGATTCGCCTCCGGGTCCGCGCGGGATCTCCTGATCTGGTGGGGTGGTGGTGGGGGGCTAGGGCTGGGTTTGGACCTGTGCGCGCGCGCGGCGGGGGCGGGGGCGGGGGCGAGGGCGAGCGCGAGCAGGAGCACGAGCACGAGCTCCGCGCCGATTCGAATCGGATAGGAAATTTGTCAAGTGGGCGCGCGGTGGAGTTGTTCTATTCCCTTCGATTCGGTGAGGCCACTACCGGAAAACGGGCATACACTGACGGCCAAACCTATGCCTACGGCTGCCGTCGGCCTAGTTTGAGATATGCCGACAGCCCAGTTCTGGCCGTCGGCTTACACTGACCGTCGGGTTACGTGGATCTATGCCGACGGCCGCCGTCGGCACAGAACGGCCGTCGACCTAGCCGCAGACATGCCGGCAGCAGCCGTCGGCATAAATCAGCCGTCCGTATAACTATGGGCCCGGCGATCCCGCCCGTGACTAGCGGCTAACGCCGTTAAACCTATGCCGACGGTCGGGACGAGCGGCCGTTGGCATATCTCCGCATGCCACGTCACCGATCCACAGCGTAGGTATGCCGACGGCAGCCGTCGGCATATCTGCCACGTCACCGATCTGCGGCATGGCGCCCACCAGAACTCTGACGTATCTATGCCGACGGCTTTGCCGTCGGCATAGCTATTTTTTTTACATACTTTTTTTTGCATATGTTTTAATGCTTTTTTTACATACGTTTTTTTTGCATATGTTTTTATGCTTTTTAAAAAATGTGTTCATGTTTTTTTATGTATTATATGAATATATATGTAGTTTGTAATTTTTTCCTTAGATTATGAACATATATATATATAGTTTGTATTTTTTCGAGCACATTAATAATATGTTGTCATGTTCTTTTGAATATAGGTCCTTAAATTTTATTAAAATCAAAAACAGCTATGCGATAGAAGTTGAGTGGCGGTTGCAAACGCCCGGCACCCGTCTCCGGAGTGTGACCCCCTCACGGACGGCGCCGCCGCCAGCATCTGGAGGGCGAAAACAGCCGCATCGGGTCTATATGGAGGGGACGTTGCTCTCAAGTGTTTCTATGGGATGACCTACCACAACCGGGTGATGTTGTGCATGTTCGAAGAGGCGGCACGCATCTCTGGGGCGTGGCCCCCCTAACGGACGGCGCCGCCGGCACCTGGAGGGGGGAAACGGACGCATCGGGTCTACACGGAGGGGATGTAGCTGTCGGTTTGGCCTGGATGTTGCTCCCAGGTGTCCCTCTGAGCTGACCTAACACAACCGGGTGGAGAGGTCCACTGTTCAAAGCCCGTCCGTGAAAAGTCAAAGGGCTAGATCTCGTGGTCAACCGCTCCAGGGTTAGGCGGGACGGGGGCCCTGAGGGGGTAGCAATGCCACCGGAGCGTCGCACTGGCCCCTCATACATGCGGGTGGTGTGGTGGCATGTCCGAAGAGGTGGCACGCGTCTCCGGGGT